TTTTCACGCCTGGTTTCCGCCTGCATGGCAGCCGCCCCGCTGCGCCGCCGAAGGCTTACTAGGTGCATCCACATGCCTACCGAGACCTCGTCGCTAACCGCCACAGTTCGATCCCAGCGGCAGATCCAGCCACCCCGAGCACGGCGTCTGTACGGCCGTGGATGCCCCGTCCACGTAAGGTGGATAGACGAGGGTAGCGTCGCAGCCGACCAAGTCGAGCCGTGTCGCGGGCAGCGCACGCCTTCGCTCGGCCGGCCAACCACCCCCTTGCCGGGGCAGGTGAGGGCGTGGTCGCCGTGCTGGTTTACCTGCTGTCCTTCCGGCAGGGGGAAGCGCAAGGCGTCGCGTGAAACTGCCAGCCCTGTGGCCACGTGGTTGCAGCCGGGCACCTTCGTAGGCAACATGAAGCTAAAGAGCATGGGATCGTGCCCCCCGCACTGCAGCGCGGGAGGCGCTTTACGGGTGGTCGCGGCGGGGGGGCCGGGAGCAGAGGCCCGGCGGTGGAGCGGCGAAGCACCGACGCCCAGGCAGCGTTCGATGCGTCTCCTCCCTTCGTCGCGAAGGTCTCGCGGACACAAGAAGCGCCTCTCTCTGTGGGAATTTTTGGAAGAAAGCTTCCTTAAGCATGAAGTTACACTGAACTGACTGGTGTGAGTATATGCTGGAATCACTGACTGCAGACTGCCGTGGACGTGTCGTCAGTTTATATGCAGTTGGCCTCCCTGCTTGCCGAGGCGTACATGCTTGCACAAGCGGTGAGGAAGATCTGAACGCGAAGGCTCTCGGAACTGCAACTGCCTATAGAGGCTTAGACGGTCGTGCAAATTCCGCTCCACGAGAACTGCGCTGATCTGCCTTTTCGTTTGCGATGTGAGCTTCCCCGCTCTTTTCAAGCCACTTCCACAGATTGGCTGGTAGCTTGGCTTCATCTTGCGCTGGCAATGTTCAGACTTTGCCGAGCCTCTTCGGCACCGACAAACGGACTGAAGACTTACTGCCAATCCGTGACACAACCCACTCCCGAGAAACTGCACTCTGAGAGTCTTATGCCTATGCCCCGCAGCCTACAGAGCAACAGGGATTCTTCGCACCCGGCTCTCACAAGGACAAGTCTGCCGCGAGCAAGACGTGGTCTGATGGCTGCCTCATGGATCATGTATGATCACGTGACATCATATGATCATGAAATGGTCAGGAACGAGTTGGCTCAATGGACATGGACCATGGAACTTCCGACAAGCGTCTCAGCCGTGGGAAAGACAGGAGCCCCCTGCGGCAGCAGTGGAGGACGGTGGACGTGCACCACCTGCGGTGGCGCAGGTGGCGACCATGGTGCAAGCGAGAGCACGCCGCAGGTCGCACCTCGACGGCCGAAGCCGTGAAGATGTAGTCGAGAGTCGCGCGAAAAGGCGTCGGGCCTCCATGGGAGCGAGATGGCAGCGTGCTCTCGGCACACGTCATGATCACTCAGATCGCGCCTCATTCGCAAACCAACGAACGAACACGTGAGAAACTGCTCACAAGCCACGCCCCTACATCCATGACTTGCTACAGGACTAGTCTTTCTGGCGTGACCCAGTTCACCACATCAGCGTTTGTCAACTTGCGGTATTTCTTCTCATGTTCATTTAGCTACCGGTAGGGCACCGCTTCACGAAGGGTCCCACTAAAATAGTGTAGTCGGATAGAAAGAATCGTTAGTTTTGGCGCCCGTTTTCCATGCGCCCCCGAGGACTCGACTCTCCTCAATCCAAGCGTAGTTGGTGTACTCCTGAAAACCACGGGACTCACTTCCGCCTCCGCAACGCAACCCTCTGCAGGCACCAGCTCGCCACCCTGCTGCGCGTAGGCGCTGCGCAGCTGCAGAGACCCAGCCTCTCCATACTTTCCAAGACTTTCCATTCCGCATGCTGCCGCTGCATTGCCGAAGAGCACCTGCCATTGTGCAAAGTCGAGGCCCTGGTCGGTCAGCGCCGTTGGCCATGCGACCTCATCTCTCGGCTTGGGCTTCAAAGGCTTGGGCTTAAAGTGACCTGCTCGCGCTGAGGCACATCCGACTCCGAAAGCGCTCCTTCCGTCAGAACTTGCAGTTCTGAGTCCTGGAACTGTCGATCTCGACTCTTTGAAGCATGCGCTGCACACACCGCGTTGCACGCCGTTCGACCGTCCTCAGGCTTCGTGTTGAAGTCTCCGGCCAAGACCAGCGACTGCTCCTCGAGACGAGACTGGATTGACTGGAGATCGCGACCACGTGGGCTCGCAGGCTCGCAACCGCCACTCTGCGAAGCTCGCTCTCCCGCCTCCGGGAAGTGCAGCATCAGGGCCTCGCGCAGGAGTGCAGCGTGGATGGCCTTTGCCTGCCTGGACAGGAACGGGAACGGCTTCAAGCAGCATCTGTAACAGCACAGCCACAGATGACACACAGATGCTCCAGCCTTTGCACAGGTTCGTCGAATAAGCACGGCATGTGGTACGTGGCAACGACGAAACTGCATCCGGACTTCGCCTTTCGCATCACAGCCTTCACTCCAAGAGCTCCGCTCTCGCTCTGTTCTGGCCTTCAGCTTGGCTGCCAGCAGCCGGTTCCTCACGAAGGACCAGAGAAGTCTAGGCTGCGTACCGATTTGCAGCTAAGCTGCCCAAAACAATGAAATCGACAGCGGGCTCCAACCAGGAGGAGTCTAACTCGTATCTGCTCGCCAGCAGACAGCACGAACCAGACTCATGCTGTTCTCTAGCATCTAATGCTCAGCGTCGGTCCTCCATGGAAATACTTGGCTCTTCGATTATGTCATGATTCGCATGTGGTTCAGCATTGGGTCAAAGTGACAAGGTAGCAGGCTTTCAGCGCAGCCAAGCGGCTGTTTCCGAGCTGCGAGTGTCCAGGCCGCGCCCTGACAGGATCAGAAAGGAGCCCTGTCAATCCCAAACTGCCCGCTCCTGCACCTCCTCGTCTGTGTGGTTCCGCACCGTGTGGTCAAGGATCCAGTCCTGCACGCCGATTAGGCGTTGTACTGGCGATGTCCACGAGGAATACAACTGAAATCAACGCAAGCCTTGAACCGCTGCCACCGGGTACTGGGGGAGCGCGGTGGAGCTAGTTTCCTGCAGCACTAGTGCCTACAGTGCTCGCCATTCACATGTCCTATTGCTGCCCGGCAACAGCTGTGCTGCAGGCCGAACCATCCGGAGTTCCTGGCACACCACCAGGCACGAATATGTCTCAAGGCCACAGAACTGCCCACTTTCCTCCAGCTCGAGATCCCCTGGGAAGGCCAAAGCCACCCCAATCGGCGGAAAATACCTTCGCAATGTCTGAAAGATAGGATTCAGAGTTCACTGGGAAGGGTGGAGGGTCGCAATGGCTCCTAGGATTCGTCAAGTTGCGTCAATGGTGTCATGGCATATGCCTTGGCTTGAGGTGTCGCGACGCGACGCGATGGAACCCGGCTCTGTGATCGACGAGGGGCAAAGTGCCAACCCCGTCGCTGGAAGTGCGCGTGCAGCTTGCCGGCCCAAAGCTCGTCCACCTCCTGCAAGCAAAAGACCTGAGAGGCTGCGCTTCTGCTGCGCTTGTGGTTCTTTTTTCCTGCAGGTCTGCATCGAGAGGCTGTTGGAGTCGTCTCTGCTAGTGCGGCATCCAGCCTCAAAAAGCTTGATTAGGCTTAGAGCTTGCGGCAGCACATTGGACATGCGGACATCAGATGCCTGTGCCTATGACCGAACTAGTTCCGAGGCCACTTCTGCTCAACCAGCCGCGGCCATCCTCGACGACGGGATGAGGTAGAGCTCCGAAACCGAAGCTCTCACAAGGTGCCTCCAAGAGTCTGACAGATTCCAAGAGGTCCTGCACGATTTGGGCATGTCTTTGTCTTCAGAAGCCGTCTTTGCAGCTCCCCCAAGATGCTCAGACTGGAGTTCTGAAGACCAAGCTAGCAGAGCATCTGGAAGCGCCAGCTCCTGTTCGTTGCAGTGCGGGAATCGCCTTGCGGAGCAGAGTGTCGGCGACAGCACATTGTAAGTCACCACTCGCACGTCCGAAGTCGCATCTCCTGAAGCCAAGAGCGACGTCTCGTTCGGTCTTCGCAACTTTTCTGGCCTTTGCAGGCGGTTCGGCAATGTCGCAGCGCCGCTCGCCGCCGGGCGGTGCTTGCAATCCTCGGCTCGGGCCGGCGCTGGGGCTCGGGCCGAGGCTGCGGCTTGGGGCCTTGGGGCCTTGGGCTGAGGACTGCACGCCGCGAGGCCTCCTGCCGAGACGAGCCGCAGCGCCGTGGGAACGGCAGCTGGACCTCGTTCAAGGCCTCCTCGAGCCCAGCTGCAACCGCAGCCGTGGCGGCAGCGAAAACTGCGGCCGGGGCTGAGTTTGCAGCTCTCGCCTTGACTTGCACAAGAAAGCAGATCCGAATCTGAGGCATGCCTGTCTCTGCAGATCTTTGCAGATCAGCCGCTCGGAAGTTCACCAAGACAGCGAGCAAACAGCATCGCTGTAAACAGGCTTGGGTGCCCACGACATCAAACCCGATTCTGGAAAAAAGACCTTGAGTTGGTTTCAGGCTTGCTGTGGGTATGAGCTTCAGAATCTCAAGAACTGAGTTTGGGGAATCCAGCATTGCCACTTGCTTCTGGCCAGTGCTCCCAACAGGCCGAGCGGGAACGACAGACAGTGCGGTCAGTCCGAAGCTGCGCTGTGCTGCGCTCTGCCCCTGTTCTGAGGCTCTCGGCTTCAAGTCTCGGGGGTCTGGGAAGTCTGGGCAGCGTCCAACTGTACATTACCGGCCCTTGCCGGTGATGGAGAGCCCAGGATTCCAGGAGATCAGGCCACAGCTCAACAAAGGCTGTCAGAAACCCAGGCTCGAGTGTACATTAACCTGCTCAGCGGCTCCGCAGTCCGAAGAGCAATCTCAAAGATGGTATATTCACAAATACTCTAGAGGCACCCATGCCCTGGGCGGGCCCTGCTTTTCAGGGCACCGACCTTCAAACGACTTCAAACTCACGGCCTACTCCTCGTGTCGGATCGGCACTCTATGCCAGCAGTTGCAGTTCAAGCCACGCAGATTCCTGGGACTGGACGGACTGGGAACCAAGGTCGTGTTCGGAACTCACAGCAGGTCTTGACATCTTCTTTGCAGAACAGCCACCACAAGGGTTCTGGCCGCTCTGGCTGCGTACCTCGGACCGTCAGCATGCCCAGACAGCCCCTGTGCTCACCCCTCTTTTGCGCGTGATCTTTGGGACCAGCCGCTGTAGGCAGAATCTACAGCACGGCAGAGGACCGTGAATTCCTTGCCCTGCAGCTCCGCAGGAACGGGAACCTGGACACAAGGCATAGGACGGAGCGGCAAAACCGAAACGGACACCGCTCCATCTTTCCAAGATTCTGGCTGAAGCCTCCCAGAAAGTCCAGGCCCATGCACGATTATAGCATTGGTCCTACCAGGCTTGAGAGACGGCTAGGACCCTTTTGACTCGTCGCCAGTGCAGCCGCGCGGCCTTGCCATCGGAAAGCTCTGCTGTGATCCAGGTCTTCCCCTCGTCGATTGACACGTCCACGCGCACGATGCCGCGACCTCCACCGCTCCAAGCGAAGCCCTTGACCTCAACACGAGAGAGAGCTGATATGCACGAGAGTGTCTTAGTCCGAGGTCGGAGGAGCGGGGTGGAGGACTGCTATATGGGCAGGGGGAAGCTGTGCTTGCGGAGCTCAGTGCTCAATGCATGGCCTCCAGGTCGTCGAGCTCCGTGACACTGCCAGGTTTCGGGCTGACGATGGCAGACTGCACAGGCAACTCGTGCATCGAAGGGATCTTCTCCTCGGAAGAGTGAGCAGAGCAGAAGAGCAGAAGCTGACTCCGATACGCTCAGTGCGGCACCACGTCAATGCCCTGCAGCTCCTGCACACAGGTGCATCGCACCATCCAAGTGAAACTACTGCCGAAGCAATGGTGGCACTGTCGCCAGCATGGCAATCAAGCAATCAAGGAAGGAAACAAGCAAGCAATCAATCCACCGATCGATCAACCAATCAATCAAGCAAGCAAGCAAGCAAGCAAAGATGGATAGATGGATAGATGGATGGATAGATAGATAGATAAGATAACATACGATAAGATGAGATGAGATAAGATAAGATAAGATAAAATAAGCTAAGATACGATATGATAAGGTAAGATAAGATAAGATTAGATAGATTAGATGAGATTAGACTAGCTTAGATTAGATAGATTAGATAGATAGACAATAGATAGATAGATAGACAGACAGACAGATAGATGGAGAGCTAGATAGATAGATAGATAGACAGACAGACAGATAGATAGATGGAGAGCTAGGTAGATAGATAGATGGACAAATAGATGGATAGATATAGGTAGATAGATAGACAGATGCATAGATGGATAGACAGATGGAAAGATGATGGATAGATGGATGGATGGATGGATGGATGTATGGGTGGCTGGCTGGCTGGACGGCTGGCTGGAAGGCTGGCTGGCTGGCTGGCTGGCTGGCTGGCTGGATGCATGGATTTATAGACAGACTGACTCAGCAGGGATTAGTTCTGCACGCGTGCCATGGTCACGACACATCGACACCTGCGACAATGTCTGCTAGCTCAGCATGCCCTCTGATCGCTTGCTCTCTTCTGTTCATGTGCACACTGTGCTCTCTGCTACAGCACTGCTTCGCACCCGGTCTTGCCTTGACCATCGGCGAGAAACCCTTGTAGGCGAGGCCTCGTTGCCAGGGCCCTTCGGCCTCCTCCGTGGAAGCCACCACGCGGCCAACCCATTTCACATTCCGCACACCGACCACGCCCGGCACCTCATCTCAAGCTCTTCCTCGTGTGACTCAACCGTGTGACTCAACTTGTCCTTTCCGCTAGGCAGGCGGCAATGACGCGGACGGGCGCTCCGTGCTCGTTTGGCAGGGCTTCTCCATTCATCTCGTAGGCCAAGAGGACGTCGCCGTAAGGACTCAGGGCTTTCTCGATCGGAATGGATGCCTGTGGGCATGCGATCTTTCGAGCTAGTACTGCACGCTATTCAGCATCTCTTGCGGTGCCTCCATGCCATCCATACCCTTGAAAATCACGTGCTTCACATCGAAAGCCTCGACGTTCTCATGGCTGAGACCAGCACAATGCTGCAACACCTGCAGGCATGGGCTGTGCCACAGAGACTCTTGTGCGCCTGTGCCGTTGGCAGGCTCTCTGCAAGTCTCCGAGCATGACTGTGCCAGGCGCCGCGTTTGCAAGAGCCTTCTCTCTGCTGGGCTAGCACAGGTTTGTGACCTCCCCAACTTGGCTTACAGGTTTACCGGTCGAAGCGGTCAGATGTTCGATTCGGGGATCGTTTCCCCGCGCTTCCGAGGCCCCATGCCAGGTCAGGTGGTGAAGCTCCGTGTCCTCCAATTGGTTGTTGGTTGTTTGTCGGCACGAACCCCACCCCCCAGTCCCCCCTCTCTCCAGGTGAAGGGCCAATGACTTGCCTGAGCTCGCTGTTGGTGTTTTTGTGAGAACCACTTGAGGCCAATATTGGACAGAGTACACATCACTGCAGTGCCCATGTCATGAGTGTTAGTGTTACCCTTCCCCCTCCTTAACGCCACTGTGAGCAATTCGTCGGCCCCATTTGCGGCCGGGCCGAGGCGGACGCGAAGCGTTTTGCAATTACTGCATCCTCACTTGTGCTGCCTGCGTGCTGTTTGAAGTTTGTCTTCATCTTCTGGTCTAATCTAACGCACTGCTGTCAAGAGAGGCAGCTATCCAGCTATCCAAATTGGCAAGAAGTTCTCACTGGCCCTGCACCTCCCGCAGGTAGACACCGCCCCACCGCGCCTCTCTTCAGGAAATCGCAGCACTGCCACTACTCAGGGCACAACACTCATTGTCCGGCTTTCTGTCACAGAGAAGTGGTTGCAGAAATTCACATCAAGGAGCTGTCGACATGGCCCCAAAGCCCCAAGGAATGCCAGAGGTTTTCTGAATCTGATCCAGTTCAGATCTCCGGTTCCCTCCGCACTGAAGAGTTGCCACCACCTGATAAGGACCGAGGAAAAGAACAAGTGACTTCCTATGATTTTCGTGAACTTCCGTGAAGCTGAGTCCAGCGTCGCACCTCGCGCTTCAGGAACCGCTTCTTCAAATCCTCCAGGCACAAAGTCACGGCCTTCGTGCCAACGCCTCGCACACAACACGATCAAAGGGGTTGGATCCAGCGCACAGACGGCGCAGCCTGTCCTTCTATGCAAAGTCTGTAGTCTTCCGGGTTCACCTCTGGCACTGGGTGATGGTGGCGGATGAACCTCAGGCAATGCCACGCTTCTGCATGTGACTGCATGTGCTATTTCCAACGAGCAAACTCAACCGGCAGCCACGAGACCACACCGGGTTGGGCGTCAACCAGGAGTCCATCATCAACTCCGAAGGCAGCTCTGCCTGGCCGAGACAGACATGACACGAGTTAGGATGAGGGGGACCCTTGGACAAAAAAGACCCTTTAAGAGAGCCACAAGCAGGCTGAAGAAGGATCCCCTTTAAGCGGTCTTCCTAATATTATCTAGGAAAGACACTCAAAGTTCGTGGGTGAATGATTACCATACCTGGGTCAGCAAGGACATGCCGGATGGGCATTGCAGGGCTTGTTGTTGTGGAAGATGAGGCCAGGATGACGCTCTGGATCACTGTCGTAGGGATCGGAGGCTGTCCTCCACAAAATTCACCAGGCGGCCAGAAAAACTTCTCCCGATGCTAAGAAGCCTCGTCGTGTCTGGAGGATCCGAGAGGTCCCCGATCCTCATACTCTCTAGCAGCTCCAGCGCGTTGCCTTCCAGAACAGCTAGGCCATCCGAAGAAACCCACACCCCATTCAACATGCGGTTGCACCTCTTCCTGTGTGCTGCTGGTAGATACGCCTCACAGAACCACACGCGGAGCCATGCAGTTGCACGCAGAGGCTCACTTTCTGCGCGCTCCGCTTAACCCCCGAGCGACCAGAAGGGGTCGATGGCTTTGCCCGCAGCGAGCATGATCTTGTCTTTGCCACCAGGATGGTTCTGGACGAAGTCCGTGATGTCATAGACGCCGTCCTCCCCGGAAGAGGCAAAATGCACTTCTGAGGAAAAGTGACTATTATTGGCTACAGTATGGTGGACGAGGGGTTGGAGAGTCAAGTCCTCACTCTCCACTTTGCTGACTTTGGGTTCGCAGAGTCAGGTTGCCACTCTTGGTTATACACACTCACTTCCACCGTTCCGGCCCCGCCAGCCATCAGTATCTCGGAGATTCTCACTAGACATGGGGCTCCGGTGCTAGTCGGTGTTGGAGCGGCACGGCTGACGCATTTGGCTCATCTAATTTGTCTTGTACAGCTCACTTGTCAAGAAGCCGTCATTCCCAGCTCTCATGTTTTCCATCTGTCATCGGAGCCGGCGGGCTGTCGAGAACTTATCCACGCAAGCTTTGAAGGCACTGCTTATATATTTCTGTGGGCATACACCAAGTTCTCCTTGTAGCTCACCCATATCCCAGTCGAAGGCGTCTGGTGCTTGGAGACCTCTTCCGAAGAGAAGATTGGCCAAGGCTCGGCTTCGCAGGACCTCCGCCGAGACGGAAGAGACGGCGAGACGCCCCCCAGCGCCAGTCTGAGCGGAGCTGAGCACCAGACCCGGAGGCCAGCTGCGTCAAGGCCGCCCGGACCTAACAAAGAACCACTCCCGAGCACTTCGTCGTAACCGAAAGCCGAAGCCTTTCCTTCCCCCCTCCCCCTTTCTTTCCTTCCCGGGGGCCTCTGCGAGGCGCTCCTCGGAGAGGCCTCCTCTTCTGTCTTTCCGCTCCCCGCTCTCTTCGACGAAGTAGATGTGCGTCGCCCGCTTCGAGCCCTCCTCAGTGGAGATGCGGGCATCGCGGATGTTCACCTGCTGCTTCTTCAAGACCTCCGTGGCCTGCTCTGTGACTTCGTCTTGGAATCTTGCAGATCAAGGCTTTTAAGAAGGCTTACACAGTGAAGGCTCCTCGCTGAGGAGGCCGGGTCGGTCGACGTCCACCCGGAAACGGATGATGCTGGAGCCGCCGGAGCTGCCCTGAGAGCCCTGAGAGAGCAGAGGCCAGAGCTTTATGAGGAGGCCCTAATACAGCCTCTTTTGAGTCTTCCCACCTCCTCGCAGGACAAGAAGTGTCTGTCCAGGTACCTGGCAGCGCACGGGCACAAAAAAAGGCAGCTCCGCCACCGTTTATAATCAGCAAAGAGTCAGGGCACTGGCAGGCAAGGACAGCTGGCACAGCCGCGCCCGCGTGCCGTGCCGCAAGGTGCGCCGCATGTTGCCATCCCTGGCAAGCAACACGCGGGGGCAGCGCGATTCACGAGAGCGAAAGCTCGCGAGAGCTCGCAGGGATCGCAGGGCCCAGCCTGGCGGCCCTGGCGGCCTTGGCGGCCCTGGCCCTGGCGGCTTTGGCCCTGGCTCGAGGCGCTGGCCCAGCGCGCGCACCGGGCACCCCGTGCGAGCCCGAGCCCCTGTCCCAAGCGGGACGCCATGGCCATTGTCTCCTTCAAAATTCAAAAGCCAGCGCTGAAAAAAGCCTCTTGTGGGCCAGCGAAATTGCTAATGGGGCCTGCAAAAAGCACAGGGCAGAGTGGCGACTCAGCTTCTCTCAAAGCACAGGCAAGGACTTCGAAGCTGGAAAGCGAGGTCCCTTTCTCTTCTCGGATCTTCTTTGGGCGGCAGCTGTTAAGCTGCCACGGTCCACGTGCACCCGTGCTGTGTGCAAGAAGTCTGAGTGGTCTCAAAGGCGCAGCCTTCGCCGTCGCCAGATCCGGAGCACCAGCCGCCGTAGGAGCTGCGCCCTCTCCAATTGCAGCCCGGCATCGACATACAGGCCTGCAGAGCGAAGGCGACATCATTGGAGCAAAAGCTGCGCGGGCGCCAGGGCGCCTCAACATCGCTCGTGAAGCTGCAGCCTGTCGACTCCAAGACCCAATCGAGGGGCCTTTCGAGTTTTCTACATGCCTGGCCTGGGTTCTGGTAGCGGGTTCCATCCCCGCGACAGAAACCCTCCGCTTCGCTGCGCTCCCAGCGGCAGCCGGGCTTGGCGGCACATCGGGTACCATCCATCGCCGCACAGGCCCCCTTTGCCCCCTTTGCCCCTTTTGCCCCAGCAGGCCCGGCTTCAAGGCACCAGCCTGCCGAGACGCTGTGCCCATGCCCAAGCACTACAGGCCCAAGTGCGCGCGAGTTTCGCCTCCATACGCGCTCTCACGATGCCAGCTGCATCCCGGGATGTATGCACAAACGTGGCGCCTCAGTTCACAGCTGCGGCCAGGGCAAAAAAAAAGGAAGTCTTCCTCGCCGAATGCGGCTCGAGGATCTCTGCATCGCTGCAGACCCGGAAGGAGCCGCTGCAGGCAGTCTCCTCTGCAGCTTAGTTTGCCTCTTTCTAGGAAGATTCGAGACTGTAACAGAGACAATGCCGAGCCTCTTCCGGCTGTGGCTTCACAGTTCCTCGAGTCGCTGATTCGGCACAGCAGGCCGGCTCTGAGCTAAGGGCCCCCGGCGCACACGGCTCAAGTGCTGTGCTGTTTGTAGCAAGGACACCTCGAAGACATCGCCGAACACCTCGAGGAAAGGAACTGAAGGGAGGGAGAAAATAGGAACAATGGTCCGTGGGCCTCATCACAGTCTTGGCCTTGGCCCTGAGACAATAGCAGCCACACCCACCGCCAGGCCATGGCCATCCATCAGAGCAAGCGGCAGCAGGGATCTCCAGAGGTGACATGGTCTGATGAAAACGTGTCATGAGTGTCATGGCCTTCCACCTTTCCTAAGAGCAGAGCGGTCGCGGGGCTTCGAGCCGCTGCAGAGAGACATGCACGCGGCTCTCTGCTGCGTCTTTGCATCGCATCTCGGACGAGGAAGCTCTGAGAATGAGCGGAAACAGCGGCAGAGCTTTTTCCGCGCTGGACTCGGGACCACATCTCGTGGCAGTGGGCTAAGGATTCCGAAAACGGTAAAATGGATTTCAACGACGCGCGACGCACGAGGCGGAGGCCACGCCGGCGCCCCCGTTAGGCAAAGAGGTCCTCCGAGGAGGGTTTAACCTCGGGTTGGAGGCTGATGGAATGCCGCAAGTTCCCGCCCCAATCCTGCCTCGGCTTTCTTGGGGGCAGCAGGTGCAGGAGGCGCAGGAGGCGCGGGTGCCTTCCAGCTGTGTGTCTCCGTCTAATGACGCCACAGACTGTTGATGTCGGCCTCTTTCTTCTCCTCCTTGCTCGGCAACTTCACGTCTGGAACCTTCACCTGCCCATGTCAGGCGCGCTCAGTGCCTCTTAGTGCCTCTCAGCCTTTTTTTGTATAATTCCCGCCTCTGGGAGTTTCGGCACCTGCATGGAACTCTTGTCATTTTCAGACCACAAGGACCAGCAGGCACCTTGACATCCGGGATCTTGACATCTGGCACCTTGACGTCTGGAACCTTGATGTCCGGCACTTTGAAATCGGGCACCTGCGCGAGTGGAATGGAAAGCGCAAGATGGTGCTGCTACTCGCTGCCCCGGCTTTCACGTCCGGCAGCTTTGCTTTGAAGTCTGGCAGCTTCACATCAGGCACCTTTCGTGGGGGCGAGGAGATTCCGCAGGGCACACAACTCACAGCGTGCCTTCAAGGAAGGCGCGTCCAGGCCCTCAGCTCACATCTCTCATCAGAGTTCCGCTCTGGCTTCTCCGCTCCGTATGGAGTGCAAAAGGCGTGCCTTTGGAAGCGACGTTGGAAGGCTCACTTTCGGTATGCTGACATTGGGCACGCTCAGGCTGGGCAGCGAAGGTCCTGGTCCACAAGCACGGGGGGATGCACAAAGCATAGCAGGGCTGACATGAAAGCGTCTTCGAGAAGTCTCTTGTGGGGGCATTAGCATCGAATGCGCGGGGTGACACAACTTGTGTCTTGGCCTGCTCGCACTCCGGCTGCGGCCGTGGCTGCGAGGAGGGCCAAGGCCTCAGTGGCGGAGAATGCAAAAAGGAGCTCAAGTCATTCAACTCTCGCTCTCAGCCTCTGAACTTCCGACGAGGTGCAACCAGGTAGGAGAGCCCCTCTGAGAGACCCAGCAAGCCGAGGGGTCCAGCGGGCAGTCCTGCGCTGCAGCACTTGCGCCACTCCGCTCAAATCAGGTCATGTCGGCCCTTTGCCTCGACCACGCTGAAGAAAGCTGCCCAACGACCAGGCCACCAAACCTTCAAAGCCCGTATACGGCCGTTAGAAACGTGCGACTGCCCTGGGGGCCCTGGGGCGATGACCAAGTGACACCACGCTCGAAAGAAGCTCGAAGCCGAAGAAGGGGAAGCTCTCCCCCCTGTCCCCCCTAAAAGTTAAACGCGATGCCATGCGATGCCTGTGCAACAACGCGCCTCACAAGGCTCACGGCCGTCAGGAGGGCGTAGCATGTGTGTGGCAGAAATGCGAGGCCAACCACGAATCCGGAGAACCCGGAGATCTCTACGGAGTCCTCACATTGAGGTTTGAGGACTGCGTCGCAAGTTTCAACGAACCCGGTTCAGGCCTCGGCGGCGCTGTCGCCTGCGAAACGGGCCACGCGAACGGGACCTCACGGATGCGATGCGATGCGAGGGGCACCGGCGCGCGGCGCTCGGGGCGCTCGGGGCCTCGTGGCGGCGGGCTCCTCCCGGTCTCGGCGCCGATCTTTGGAGCAACGAAGCTGTCGCCCGCCCATCTCCACAAACAGGCCCTGAATGAACCGGGTGATCAGCTGACACTACGAACACACCGTGGAAATCTCGAGTCGCCGACGCAACGACCAACACCAATACTGCCAGCAACCTCTGCCTGTCAGGAAGCAACCCGAGGATGCAAGCGCAATCGCGGCGAAGAAGCACATGCTCAAGTGCGCCAGCCTTCGTCCACTGGGCGCCGTGGCCGCCATGGCGTCACAGCCTCCAGCCGCCTAATCCCAGCTCAAGAGCCCTCCTTGTGACAGAACGAACCCATCACCGATCACCCCAGAGCGCCTGAAAAGAGGAGACACACAGTGTGCTCGTGTCAGGATTTACTGTACCACTCCTGATGCCAACAGCTTGCTGCCGATTCCGTGTATGACGCCCTTTTCTGTCTCTCCAGCACCTGCTCTCTTTGAGAGGGTGTTCTCCGGGAGGGTGATACGTGAGACGAGCACTGAGAAGGGAAGGAAGTCAAGTCATCATAGTCGCGGCCATCTTCGCCTCCCAGGGAGTATGCCCAGCCGTGGTAGAGCTATCACAGCCATCTGCAGCAGACTTGCTTTCATACAGAGTTGTTGACATCTTGCTCGTGTCTTGGTTCGGCTCGGTCGCACAATCGCTGCAGCCAGTGCAGCCATGGAGCCAAACAGGCTATACAGACAACGCGGGATTGGCAGCAAGCATGTCTTCCATCGGCTAATGACGGTTGATGCTGGATGGTAAGAGATCGATATTATGTTCGCGACAAACAGGCCGGCAGGCAGGTAGATAGACAGACAGATAGATTCGCACATCTTCGCACTGGCCTTCGTGAGTGGGCTCGGCACTGCCTCTGGCTCCTGTGCGCTTCGGAATGGGTGCAAAAGTCTGGTTGCACAAGCTATGCATTATCACTCAAAGGGCTGAAGAAGATGCCCATGCAAAGTCCTGCAAGCCACCTTGCAGGCCGCGCGTCTTGGGCAAGGCCGGCAGGCTGCGGCTGGTCGCCAGCGACGAAGTGGTCGAAGTAGGCAAAGCCATCGGCGGCCTGGCGCTGGGCCGCAGCGCTTTTGTCTGCCACTGCCCCTTCAGCTGCCTGTCGCAGGCGTCCTTGAGTGTCCGGAACTCGTCGAGAGCACGGGTCCCGTGCCGCCTCGAAAGGGATCGGCGCGGCCTATCTGCAGCGACGGCTCTTTGGGCTCCAGGCGGCTTCTCGGGGAGGCTTTGGACCACCTCCTTGGCCAGCTGTCCCTGCACCTCCCGTAATGCTGCCATGTAGGACCTCCAGAAGTCGACGAAAGAAGTCCATTCCCCAAGGGCGTGCAGAGGGCAGGGACCTTTGCAGCCAAGAGACATGAAGGGCGTTGGCTCATCGGGTCGTCGCTTGCTGGGAAGCTCTGAGCGCCTGGAAGCTTCCTCCTTGATGCCTGGCGACAGGGGGCTGCTGACTACTGCACTGCAGCCGCAGCCGACTGCAGCCGCAGCCACTGTGCCTCGCTCCTGGCGTCTTGGAGGCCTCGGATCGGGTTTGCATCCTACCACAATAGAAGCAACTGAAAATAACTGAAATCTGTTGAGGCCCGAAACCCTGGCGGCTTCTCCCGGCGTGGGGCCGCAGGGCTGAAGCTCTCCGGGACCTGCTTTGGTTCACGGCTCACGGCCCAAGCTGTCGGAAAGCTGCAAAGGAGCCCTTTTTTGTCCCTAGGGCTTTGCTAGCAAGCCAGGCCAAGTCAGTGAAGCCGATGGTCTTGGCCGCTGCCATCCACCTGCAGAACAGTGACGCGATTCTCCACAGATTCCATCTTGGGCGCCGGCAGACGTCACAGTCCGTTAACCTGCGCAAACGAAGGTCTTCAGCAGCCACCGGTCCGTTCCGTCCTGCTGATATGGCCAGTGATGACAAATACAGCCATGCTCACTGCTCCTGTTGCGGCTCGAATGCCGTCCGCGCATGGTTGCAGCGGGCATTGTCGATAAGCAGTGCGTCCCCAGCCTTTCCAGGACAGAGACCCCACAGCAGAACAGGACTGGACAAGATATCCACCGAAGTTATTCAATGTACATTCGGAGGGGGAGGGGGAGGCTGATTACCCACATGTCAACGGAGGTTATGCCTGCAAGTCTACATCGTCACATGTCTCTGCAGCCGCTGCCAGTGCCCGGCTGTAGGCAGCCTCCAAGCAGGCTTAAATCTGGACCACGCGCGCTCTGCACCAGCTGTAATGCCTGGGTCTCGGCGTCCTCGCTGACTATCCGATATGAAAACTCCTCCGTGGCATCACTAGGCAACTTCAAATTGAATTGAAGCACCTTCGCTCCTTGTGATCTGGAATGTAGAAGAGAGTGATCTCGGGCTCGTTCTGGCATGGCTCAGCTTGCAAGCCCTCGTAGGGGCGCCCTATCAGCGGTACCTCGGAGCCTGTGACCGCATAAAACGGCTGGCCATATGGGGAAACTCCGTCCGGCCTCCGCTTGCTATCAGATAGCTATCAGAAGAAAGATCGCACAACTTCCCCTCGGGCTCGGCCGAAGCGGTCAGAGGTTCTCACAGGGATTCCCTGTTTCCCCACCTCTTAATCCCCTCCCCAGCGACCCCCCCCACTCCCTTTTCACCCTTCCCTCGTCTCTTCCTTGCGGCGGGCGAAGCAAGACAGGCTAGCTTGCATTACATCATTCGTGAAGTTGATGCCAAAACTGGAAATTCTAGAGTGCTGTGGTTCAAAGCTTGACTCCCCATTCCCCTTCAACATATGGAAGGTTGTAATAAGAAGTGTAATACGATTTTTAGAGTAACGTCTATAGGATAATGTCGGGAATGTGCCACCGTTCGAATGGGATCATTGCTCAGAGCTTCAGCATGAAAAAATACTGACATTAAGACTTCATTAAGAACACATTCTAATCTAGAGCAAACGCACTCCTTCACGCAAGACCTCCCCTGTGTGACCTACCTGTCGCGTTCCGAAACAATGCACCTGCTTCAAGTATAGCCGGGCCGAGGCGGACGACGCGAAGCGCTCAAAATAAAGCATTGCTTGCTGCTGTCCCCGCTCCTGACGCACTCAACTCGCACAGGTCTGCGGCGAAGAGCCTGCAAATGACACTGACACACACACACACGCAAAGTCACACAGACACACACACACACACAATTAAGCATCCATCGCTCAGCCACTCATCAATTGTTTATCAAGCACTGCTTGATGTATCATGAAAGCATGAAGCTTTCAGGGGTTCTGGTACCTGTCTGGCCTCAAGGCTCATCCTGTATGCTCTGCAGATTAGCGAGCTGTACAAGGCAACTGGACTCTTCAGACATACAAGCACGCAGGTACGTGGATTGAGCGTCCCCAATCCATTTCACGACGAACTGTAAAGGCCTGCGTTGGGCAGTGCCTGGGAGCTGGCTGAAGGTACAGAGCTCGGAAGCTCTTTCTCCAAAATTTGTTCAGCCGGAGTCTTAGTGGAAGCCGTAGGCAGCGCAGGAGCTGTCTCACTCGGTGCACCTTTGGGCTGCTTCACAGGAGTGAAGACAATGCCGGCCTCTTCGAGCTTGCGTTTTGCTCTGGCTAGCTGTTCAGCTTCAGGTGTTTGCGAACTTGACGCAGGAACGGGAGGTGAGTTCGCCTTGATAGTTGAAACAATTTCGCCCAGAAGCGGCTGCATAAACCTTGCAGACTCTTTGTGCTTGTCAGGCGGTGCCGGGCCGTGCATATGGGCCGCCGCGGCATCCAAATCAATGCGATCCTGCCTGATGTGACGGAGCAGGTTCGAAACAAAAACCGCTTCGGAAATTGACGTCACGAAGACTATGCTTTGAAACTCTCCGTTGGACAAGCATCGGGGACTGTAATCATCGAGTCCCTTTCGCGTGAGTTCTGCAACCCGAAGGTTGGCTACGTCTTTGCCAGCAAGTCCACTTTTGGTGGACCATGGTGTGGACTGAATGTTGCGACAAAACTTCTTGTTCGATACTGGATTGGTGTCGTAACAGTCCCTCCCAGTCTGAAACAAATGACGAAGGAATTGAAACAGTTCCACTCGAGGGGCCCCAGCGGCCCTAGGTGAGCAAGGTATGCAAAAACAGCATGCAGGCCCCACAGGCCCTACCCACTGCAGCAATTGGGCGTAAAGCGACAGCTAGTACGACAGATGAGTTCTGACGGAGAGTCTTTCTCCATGCCAGGAAGCGCAAAGCTTGGCCAGCTTTCAACCACAGCTCAAGGGCTCCTGTGTGCTTCACAATGCTTCACATAACTTCTGAACCAAGACAACCAACGCTCCTTGACGGCTTGGCTCTTCTCAGCTCGTGCAGCTCACGGGGTCAAGCTTCCTCGAAGACCGGGCTTGGTGGCCAATCGTCGTCGATGAACTGAGACATACTGAGACCCTGCGGGTGAACCAAAACTGTTTCATGGAGGCTGGTCGAAATTACGGTGCCACTATGTACCACTGCTTAAGCGCGGATGAACCCTTGCACCTGCCCTTGCGCGCTCTTGCGCGGCTCGAACACTGTTAGAATGTTAGAACCTATGATTTTTCATTGTGATTGTCAGCACTGGCTTAGTACTGGGGCCAACGGTTTCCAGAGTCGGCTGCATTTTCATTGACAGTCAGTCCTGGCTTAAAGCTGGAATCAACGGTTTCCGACGCCAGCTAGTTTCTCCTTGCGCCCGTTTCTGTTGCCGTCTTCCGTGGGCCAATGGCCTGCATGTGCCCCCCTCAGAATGCAAGCGAACCCTGCTCAAAAGGAAACCGAAAGCACCCTGTTTCAGAACTGTTTCCACATGAGGCTCGAAGCATCAACGCTGTCTCGCCCAGAGACTCGATTCCAGATCTGCGGAGCCGTAGCAAAACTCACCCTACAGCCATCAAGTTTTACCCTGCCGATCCCTTCCAGGCCTGGCCATGGTCAATCGTCGCTCTTTCGAGCGTAGTACCTGTCGCGACGAAGCCTAATAAACTGTTCTGATGAATCTGCACCAGAAGCCCTAGGCCCTAGACCTGAAGAGAACTGCACGCGTGTCTCATGCCCGCAGAACATCAAAAGAGCCTAAATGCTTTGAAGAAGCCCTGTCTCCCTAAACTCCCTAAATTCCCTGGGTTCCTTAAAGGCCCTAAAGGGTTAAACCCTAAGCCCTAAACTCGAAATCCTGAACGTCTTCCCGCACCCCTGTCGATGTGATGCGCAGCTTCTCTGTCGGACTGAGACTGAGTGAGGCCCTAGCTGGGCTGCGAGCTTCTGCTCGAGCGACCTGACGCCACTGACCAACTGTAAACCGCTTCTCGCAGCAGCAACTTGCTACTCTCATCTACTCTCAACACTAGTCACTACTAGTCCTGGTGCCCGGCATAACACGTGGGGTCTCCGGAGGCTCTGACTGGCGCAAGGCGGAATTGAGGCGGAGAACGGAGACAAGGCGGGACCCTCTGCCTTTTGTCGTAGCCTCGGACTCGTCACTGTCAGTGCACGTAGCGCACGTGAAAACGAAGTCCTCCACCGCAGAGTCTTGCTTTGGGAAGTGAATGGGGAAAGCTAGCCATCAGAACAAGCAAGACTCCAAAAAAACAACACTCGGCCGGTCCCGTGGCCCGTCCCTATCTGCTGGCTGAGATTGGCTGAGATTGCCTGAGTGAGCTCCTCAGTGACTTTGCGCGGCTCCCCAGAATAGAAAAGCTCCTCCAGCTCCTCCAGCTCCTGCAAACATGCAGCGCGTCCCCAACTTTCTGCTGCTGTATCAAATGGAGATCGCATGTCTCACAACGCCGGCACACAAGCCACATGCCGGGGGGCCTCCTCGATGTCTGCATGCTTAGCCAGAGCCTGACTGGGTAGCAGCTTGTATATATATATATGTATATATACATATATATATATATTTTATGTGTGTGTATGCCAGCACGCTCAACACTTCTACGAGTAGTACAAGCATGAGTCAAACTAACAGTCTCAGTAAGTATCAGTAAGTATATTTGCCTGGGCGGGCACAACGCAGCTGTCACGCAACAGCGTGCATGAATTCATGGTGACCCCGAATAGTTGCTAGGTCGGTCCACGTTGCCAGTCACTGTTGTTCCAACCCGACGAACCGCTTTTAAACTTGTTATCCCAAGACGATGCTGCCCATGACGAAGTGGGCCAGTCACGATCACGGTTCCATTCGCTGGGCGTCCTATTGGGAATTGTGTCTCAGAGCTGAAATCGTGGTCTGCGGATAGCAAAGCCGGTGGTTCCATCGGATCTGATTAAAGTCGAGACCTGCAATGAAACTTGGCATCACAACTGACATGAAGTCAGAAACGGAGAAAACATCGCGACAGATGATGCCGGCACCATCAGAGCTGAGATTTCATTCGGAGCTGGTGGTGCCACTTCGGGAACCAATCACTGCATCCCTGCCATTATCGTTTCAAACCTGGCAGGAACTCGCACGGGCTAATCCCGCCGCAGGTAGCACGGTAAACGAATACAAGACCAGCTTGCAACTACCTGGTACACACTTNNATCATGAAAGCATGAAGCTTTCAGGGGTTCTGGTACCTGTCTGGCCTCAAGGCTCATCCTGTATGCTCTGCAGATTAGTGAGCTGTACAAGGCAACTGGACTCTTCAGACATACAAGCACGCAGGTACGTGGATTGAGCGTCCCCAATCCATTTCACGACAAACTGGAAAGGTCTTCCAGAATGTCCACTGCCCCCCTGCAACGCTGCAACTGCTATTTCCGCTTGGCAACAGAGGTCCACACACACACACACACGCGCGCGCGCGCGCACACACGCACACGCGTGTACTCGCACGAACGCAAAGGGGCACATATCAAAGGACTCCACCTGCAGCTCATCAGATGTCAAGCACGCGGCCAGGCGTCGGTGGGAGCAAATCTGCGTCTTCGCCCCGTGCTGGCATCAACTGCCACACTCTCGAAGAATTTCCAATGCAACAGACCGTAACAGACCCCTGATGACACTCTGAGTCACTGCGCAGACATGCCGGATACAAATCACCACATGTGTGGCCTGTGGATCGCCACGAGCTGCCAGAAGAATAAAGCCGTCAGGCTCGCTCTGGGCACCGGACACGCACCTCGACAAAGCACAATCCTAATGTAGACAATCCCAAAAAAGATCCCGAGGACAACTTCCCTGGGCTCCGCTGCTTGGGAACGTCTCGGTGGAAGCCCAGCTGGATGTGCGGCTGGTTGATGCCACCCAAACCTTCGCGGGCAAAGGCAGACATGAGAAGCCCCCGGCCCGAGGCCTCACGCCTGGCTTCGGCGCAAGGTCCCGGATCAGCCCTCCGCGCGCATTCTCGGTGTAGAACCTGCAAAGGCCCAAAAAGCAGATACGAAGTCGACTGCTTCAAAGCTTCGGGCCCCAAAAGGCCGTATGGCAAGCCGAGGCAACGAGCCAAGCCCAGCAGCCAGGCCTGACACACACGCACGACGTCTACGTCTCTTTATGTCCGCCATGTGTCGGCCTCGGCCACAGGTAGGCGAAAGTCGCCAGGTAGCATTGGCGTGGGAGGGATCTCTGAGTCTAACGGCAAACCCGAAAGCAGCAGTGCCGGCGCCGAAGACGAGTCGACAAGGAGCCTTTGCACTTCGTGGAGGGCCTCAAGAAAGCTGGTGGTCCGCGCAAAGCAAGGTTTCAACGGCCCGTGCGTGGTGTCAGCCTCTTCCGGCAGCCACTTGACGACCAGCTTGAAGGACCGTGTGACCGCTCTCCTGCTGCAACCGCAAACAGCGTAGTCCCAACAATGAGTCTGAGGGATGGACTCTGTCCGCGCTGGATCTTTGAGAGCGTTCCACAGAAAGTCCTGTGCATGGAAGCAGGACTTTGATCACTCTTATGAGACTGTCACAGCTTGCACGATGGCGCTTTCAGCTTGCCGGACTGGCTCTGTACTGGGCGCTCCTTGACTAGTCCTATATTCTACATGGATCTTGCATTGCCGAGTCGAGTCTCAAGCCCATAGACTCATAGACTGCTTGCGTAGTGCCTCTTCCGAGAAGGCTTCGAAGAAGTCGTGGCGGAAGCCTTCCAGCCCATCCAACCTTCACATTCCCATCCCGGACATGTAAAGTAAAGAGAAGACGTCAAGACAGCTTGATGCATGCTTGCAGCAGAATAAACAACGCGGCGAGAGCGTGCCTGAGTCGAGCGACGTTCGGAGCCTTCTCGGCAGCAAGCTTTGCCACCTTCGAACTGGGAATGACTGAAACTGAAACTCTAAAGACTCGATCCGCCTCTTCCATCCGGCCTTCTGCAGGCGTGACCGGCGACTCGCTGCCTTTGCCCTTGAGAGGTCACAGCGCAGCCAGGCCGCAGCCAGCGGTGCGGCGCCGGCGCAGAGACCCACAGTGGCCGTCACTTGAAACTCGGCTCGTCGGGCTTTGCTTGGGGCCCTTCTTCGCGCGCTCCCAGGAGATCCCAGCTCTCGGAGCGGCTTCGGAAGCGTCAGAGCCATTGCCAGACGAGGACACGCATAAAGGCAAAAGCCAAGGCGGCCAAGGTATAAGCTGGAGCTGTGGAGCTAGCAGCGATGTCTCAGTGACTCCACTTCTGACGAGGGCTGCAAAACATCATGGCCCAAAATGCGACGGGAGCGATCACAGGATCTCAAGTCAGGTGCTTCGATGCTGCCGCGACACCGTCCGTCGGTCCGTGGCCGAGCCTTCTCCTCAAACTCCGAAACCAAGTTCTGCTGCGATTTCACCAGCGTGGCCTGGAAAATCCGCGCCCAGCACTGCACGCAACACGATGCCACCGCACCTCCACACCCTGCGTCATGGCGTACTCACAAGCGCTTCGGAAGAGGTACTCTGTGTGGTACCTTCCAAAATCTTCCAAGCAGCTGTGCTTCTCCGAATCGTTGAACCCGGCGCACCACATGCCCCTGATCGTGGCATCTGTGGTGTCGTTTAGCCGCTCGAAGTCAGGCCACTGCTGCTCCTGGACGGCTAAGTGCTATCGGCCGCAGTGGCACTCTCTTCGATCTTCGGCGCAGCACCTCCTCGGAAGCGACGGCCTCCACCACTGCTGCGTAAGCCTTGTTCGCCAGAAGCATCTGCTGCCGGATCAGGCCGTACCTGCAAAATGCAGCGAGCACCACCCGCCCCCGCCATTCTCAATGGTGCCCTGTCCGCCTTTGGATGCGCTGCGTGGCATCAGAGTAAAGGCGCTCAAAAACACCTTTCAGTACCGGCGGATTCCGTGCCAAGCCGGCTTCCATGATGTCCTCAGAACACCGCATCGCAAGCATGCCCACACGGCTCACTTCGCCTCCCTGCAAGTTTCCTTCAGGCCAACTTTCTCCATAATGTTGTCGACCGTGCCGGCAACACCAGGGCCGGCATCTAACGACACGACCTGACAGCGGACTAGTACTCAACAAGCCCGTGTCAAAAGGCCCCGACACACCCACGGATGTGAGAGACAGCGAGAGACGGTAGCGAGAGAAAGAAGGAAGAGAGTGAGGGCAGTTTGTGTGAGAGAGAGAGAGAAAGAGAGAGCGGCGGCTTCGGCAGACCAAGACACATTCACAGACCCGCGCGTCTCTCCCGGCGACTTCGTGCTGAGGGATCTGAGGGTGCAAACTTCGAACTCCATGGCCCGTCCTGCCTTGATGTTCTCCATGCGCTTTCGCAGCTCGTCGATGGTGAGAAGCAGCTTGGAGATCTCCTCCTACAGGAGCGACGCGGAGCTTGGTGCGTCCGGTCATTCACCGAACCCGAGCTTGGAAAAGGCTGGCAGGTGCCCACCTGCTGCCTCTGCGTGATGCGCTTCAGCTCCTGGACCCAGGAACGGCACAACAATGTCTTGATCCCTTGTGGTATCCCGATGCCGAACACAGCATGCTGAACACAGCATGCTTGGACAAAGCTAAAAAATGCAAAGTGGTGCAGCCGCACTGAACTGAGCTTTCCTGACAAGCTTGCTTTGCACCGTGACGCAGCGTTAATAACCTTGTGGGAGCAGGCAACGGCGCGTTGCCCGCAGGAGTCCAACGAACGCCGGGCGCATAGATGCCTCCTAGCTCTACCCCGTTCACGCAGAATTGGGAGCCGTTGTCTTGCTTCCCGCTGTCCTCCCTCCAAGGAGCACTCCGCCAAAAGAGATGCCACAATACACAATTTGCGAGAAGGTCAGAAGGCTGACGGAGGGTGTCCTGCACCTCCTTGGGATCTCCTGAGAGCAGCTCAGTCTAATCTAAATCAAGAGCGTGCAGAGTTCCGGTGCCTTTGTAGACCACCTCCTTGCCTTGCGGAGCTTCCGGAGCTTCCGGCTCCTGCGGCGAGAGGATGAGCAAGGAGACAAATATTGCCGGCTGCTCGGGGGGGCCTTCGTCGGCACCTCCACGGCCGGGGCTGGTGTGCCATCCTTGGGGAAGCTCGCGGCATACTTGGCCAAGGCCTCGCTGACCCAAACCTCACGTCACACAGCAAAGCGATTTCAAAGCAAAGAGTCTGCACATCCAGATGACGCGGCGGCACGGCCTCGAACTTGGGCGATGCTTCCTTCATGGCCTTGAGTACCTCACGAGGCTTGTGCTCCATGCCACATCCACCGTGCACCGCACACCGCCGCCCGTGCCTCCATAGGCGTCGGCTCTGCCGTAGCGAAAGCCTGCAATAGGCACTCAAGCGGGCAGAGTGCCGAGTGTTGTATTGTAGTATTGCACCTGCATGAACTTCAGCTCGGTTTGCGGTACCTGGGGAGACGAGCCGGTGCGTTGACGGTGAAAGCTCCAGAGGGGCACCTTGTGGCCGGTGATCGAAGCCAGCTTGCTGAAGCCTCGGAGGGCCACCTCCATCGTCTGCCTGAAGCCAGGAGAGGCCGAAAGACAAAACTCTGCCTTTCTTGCTGCCGCAGCCGCACGCAGCTGCAAAAGCCTGTTGGCGGAGAGCCACTGGCTCAGCTGGTTCCGCATCTCCGCCACCAGCTGCTCCGCACGGCGCTGGGCCGCCAGGGCCTCCTCGAGCGCCAGGGCCTCAGCTTCCAAACGATGCTCGTGCGCAGCCGTCTCTCGGCTCGCTGTCAGAGGTCTCAGGCTCTGTGTATACGCGGCGGACTGGTCCTTTGTTCTCTCTCTTTTCGACGCCCGCTCTGCCATCTTCTCTCCTGGGGTGAAGCGCCTTTTCGCGCGACTCCGGGGGTCGAGCTTGAGCACCGCGAGGGCAGAGGCCGAGGCCCGTGAGGTCGAGGGAGACCGAGGAAATTTCGGTTGCTTGCTTTTCAAGCCCACCTTCTTTCCGCAAGGGCGGCTCTCGCTACGCCCTATTTTAGACTTGGCTTCTCACTTTCTCACTTCTAGCTTGTCAGGTCCTCGCCAGGCAAAGCTTGGAGATGTTTTTCGCACGGCTTTGCTCAGTGACGCAGTGCCAGTCCTGCCCGGCCCTGCAAAGGCCTCCACTATCGCATGGCAGAGCCTGGCGAGGCCCGTTTGGAAGCCCAGTGCTGAAAGCGCAAAACTTAGCCCCCTTTGAGGCAGTGGCTGCATCGCCAGTGCGGCCACGTGAGGCTCGTGGAGCATGGCGAAATGATCTCCGTGAGCCAGAACCGGGGCCTGGCCAGCACTCAAAGGCCCAAACAAAATCCAAAGAACTGACGAGTCAACCCTCCTTCGCGGCCGCTTCTCCACCAGCACCCATTGACTTCAGGTGCGTGGCCACCGCTTCATCTCCCTGGAAAATCTCTGCCTGGCACGACCGGAACCCAAACCGGAGCCCGAAGCCTTCTCTCTTGTCGCCTGGACGCGCTGGACGATCTCCTTCGAGGTGGAGTCGGCCTCAAGCTGCAAGCTCTACAGTCCGACGGACGCCCTTCAAGGCGGCCACCGCCTCGGTGGATTGAGCTTCTGCCCTGACCCATAGCATCCTGGCAAGTGTAAAGGGCCGAGCACCGCCGAGCACTGAGATCTACATCAGTTCACCGCCTGGCCCGCAGGACCGTCTCCGACACGTCGGGTCCTTTGCTCCGACAGCAAGACAGCAGCAACTGACTCCGCTTGCTGGGGCTGCGGCGACTCGCGAGCAGCCCCGCATACCAGCGGAACGTCTCGTGGATATGCTCCAAGACCGGTGCCACTTGTGGGCCTCTCTGCACTCGGAAGAGGGCCAACACAGCACGCAGCATGCGCGGCGGTGGGCCTAGCAGCCGGCGCACTGCTTCCTCGCGATCTTCGGCATTTGCGGATTCCTCACGGCATTACGCAATAACCAACATGTTCGACGTCGTTCGAAGCACCGGCCATGAGCCAGGTCCTCGACTACCGATGCGTAGCGTGCACCGTCTGCAACGCTTTGAGAAAGCATCGCGACGGTTTCCAGCATGCCACACTCTTCGAAAAGGCCACCTGAGCCATGACAGGAAAACGCGCAGGGCCGCGAGACTTGCGCGACATTGCGGGAACGCTACAGAATCTACGGCGCTTTGTGTTGCCTCGCTCCGACTGGGATTGGGTGCCAAATTCGGCTCTTCAACCTTTTTGTTTTGCTGCCATTTGCGCTCCCAAAGCCAAGAAACAAGCTTCCTAATTGCATTCCTTGTCTTTCCTTCCTCCCTTCGTGCCGGCCTTCCCTCCTTCCTGCTTGCTTCCTTGCCAGTTCTCCAAAGCGGCGCACTCTCACACTGGAAGGTGTCTCGACTTCGGATCTGCCCCCACCCTGCACTTGCCTGCATCGGCTGCCACGGGGAGCAGCGTCCGCGGGTCCAACAGCATCACAAGTGAAACTGCTTGGGCCGAGGCCTGATCACCGGGCTCCAGCTAGAAGATTCTCTTAGGACAGTCAGAGCCAGGGAAGATTCAGAGCTGGTAAGGTGTTGAAAACGCTTCAGCATGTCAGGTATAAGGGGTGGCCGTCAGCAGTTGTGCTACGATGCTTGTATTCTGCCATGTCGTTGGGCTCACCATAGAGAAGTGAGTCATGACTTACTCTAGCTTGTAAAGTGTATAATGTATTTTTGATACAGCCTTGTCTTCTCTGTAAGTATACTTAAAGCAAACACTCTGCGCGAGCTTCGCCGAGAAGGTTATGGCCGCTCAGGGCGAACACCTTCAAGAAGCCCCCTAAGACCTGGAAGGTTTTATGAAAAATAACAACCTACTGGCAGAGAGAAGCCACAGGTGCCGCCAATCCGCCTCCGCCTGCCTGGCCATCTCCACGCAAACTGTGGCACCGAAGGAATGTCCAGCCAGCAGCAACGGCTCTGACACGTCCACCACCGCCCGGACCTCCCAAGAGCAATGAGCTGCTGAGCATGAGCCAATGAGCGCAATGAGGCAATGAGCAAGAAAAGTACACATTGACATAAACAAGTAAATAGATATATATGTATGTGTAAGTATGTATATATCTGTATATGTATGTGTAACTGTAATAATATAATATAATATAATAT